GTAACTTCCAAAAGGTGAGTCATTCCTTTGTTCCTGTTGGGCTGTTAAGTGTGTACATGTGTGTGTGTTGTGTTGAGCTGAAAGGCAGATGAGGAGTGTGATTTTGTGTTAAAAAACATGAATTCCTGCAGATGTCATGTTGTGTGATTCACTCTTTCAGCCTCCAGGAAAATTAAAGTGTTCTCACAACCCTCAACCATGAAATGGTGTTTGATGTGTTTATGTGTGCATCCACTTATGAAAGGTGGATTTGTTGGTTTTGTGGACCCTCATCAGAACATTCCCCTCTGCTGTTTTTAACGAGAGCTCTATATGTGCACTTGACTTCTAACAGACAACAAAAGCTGAGTTAGGKCGATTGTGTGACGTCTAGATGACTATTGTCCATTATTTGTTTAAGCAGCTCTCACTTTTGGAATAAAAGCCCACACCTGGTTGTTGTTGATGAGTGCAGTCACTTTACTTTACATCACCTCACTTCACACAAGTTATTTATGGARGTTGAGAACAGATTTCAAAGGAAATCCTTATTATAAGTGCTCATCTAGGTGACGTACCACAAACCATGTTGTAAAATGTACTCCTGTGTCTGGGCTACTTTATAAGAGACTCATAAGTTTTATATGTTTATTTATGAAAACATACTCTGTATATTGTCTTTATATAAGATTTTTTTTACCCTTTCCAATAAAATGAAGCTGTACTCTCCCAGGACTTGCTTTGTTTTCACTCAAACGTCTCAAATTGTAATCACAGTCAACTGTTTTGAAAGTGTTGGAGATAATTTGTAACATTGATGGAGTTACTGTATAGACTCAACTGTTTAAAAAACACAAATATATTCCATTTTGACGTTAAACTTTTCCTTTATTTGAGTAAAAAATATAAGTATAAGAGTAAAAATATTAATGGGCCAATAAAAGATGACATTATGTAGTTAAAACTAACTACAGAAACAGTGAATGAAAAGTTCAGGAATCAAAAAGATGAGTAGCAGCCAGGTGTTGCTCAGACCTCTAACACTGATTAATGACTTCTCTACGATCATCACAACAAACTGTTGTGCTGCTAACTGGAAACTTCCTTCAGTAAGAAGATATTTWTGATGCTGCTCCGCTCTCAGAACTCAACAAATAAAGTTTTTCTYTTTCAGACTCTCCCCTGTGGCCTCATTACAGGTCTGTACTGGACCTCTGTCTCAGAATGTGTCAGGCTACAGCTGCAGGAGTCTCTGTGACCACATCACCATCAGGACTCTAKCCCTGGCTGGAGGTCAAGGAGGTCAGTCATGCTTCAAAATCTCAGGGACCAAGACTGTCTGCTGCATACAGAAACTATGTGGATCACTTACACCCCCTAGTCCACTCAGGACCTTAATACCTTAACCCCTGCTCATCCAGGACCTTCACACCCTAACCTCTACTCATCCAGGACCTTCATACCTTAACCCCTGCTCATCCAGGACCTTCAAACCTTAACCCCTGCTCATGCAGGACCTTCATACCTTAACCCCTGCTCATCCATGACCTTCATACCTTAACCCCTGCTCATCCAAGACCTTCATAGCTTAACCCCTGCTCATCCAGGACCTTCATACCTTAACCCCTGCTCATCCAAGACCTTCATAGCTTAACCCCTGCTCTTCCAGGACCTTCATACCTTAAACCCTGCTCATCCAAGACCTTCATACCTTAATCCCTGCTCATCCAGGACCTTCATACCTTAACCCCTGTTCATCCAGGACCTTCATACCTTAACCCCTGTTCATCCAGGACCATCATACCTTAACCCCTGCTCATCCAGGACCATCATACCCTAACCCCTGCTCATCCAGGACCTTCATACCTTAACCCCTGCTCATCCAGGACCTACATACCTTAACCCCTGCTCATCCAGGACCTTCATACCTTAACTCTACTCATCCAGGACCTTCATACCTTAACCCCTACTCATCCAGGACCTTCATACCTCAACCCCTGTTCATCCAGGACCTTCATACCTTAACCCCTGTTCATCCAGGACCATCATACCCTAACCCCTGCCCATCCAGGACCTTCATACCCTAACCCCTACTCATCCAAGACCTTCATAGCTTAACCCCTACTCATCCAAATCCTTCATACCCTAACCCCTACTCATCCAAGACCTTTGTACCTTAACCCCTACTCATCTAAGACCTTCATACCTTAACCCCTACTCATCCTGGGCCTTCATAACTTAACCCCTACTCATCCAGGACCTTCATACCTTAACCCCTAATCATCCTGGAACTTGATACCTTAATCCCTACTCATCCAGGACCTTCATACCTTAACCCCTACTCATCCAGGACCTTCATACCCTCAACACTACTCATGCAGGACCTTCAAACCCTAGACCCTGCTCCACCTAGAACCTTCATACCCTAAACTCCTTGTTATCCAGGACCTTCATACCCTAAACCCTACTCATCCAAGACCTTCATACCCTAACCCCTACTCATCCAAGACCTTCATAACTTAACCCCTACTCATCCAAAAGCTTCATACCCTAACCCCTACTCATCCAAGAC